TATATATATATATATTATTTGGAGGAATTGATTATTTTCCTTTCTAATTGTATTAATTGTAAAAAAAAAAAATTACAAAACCTTCGTCCATCGTGGTTTAGGTCAAATGGGTAGTTTAATAACGACGATAACGACCATGCTTTGCTTAGAAAGATAGTTTCCCATTAATTATCCTAACTTTATAGTATTTGAAGCATCTAACTATCGACTAGAGTTCATTTTATGATGAAATTTAAAGCATCCAATGAACGCGTTCAAATTCAATTAATTTACAATCTCTTTTGCTTATATAACTCTTTAAATAATAATATTAATTATTAATAATAACGTAATAAAATTGATAGTAGCAATATGAAGTGAAGTAAAGTAAAAAAAAGAAAAGGTACACCTTATAAAAGAAATTCTTTCATGATTAAACAAAACAAAAAAATATACAAGTATATTTTCTACATGTTGTACATGTATGTTTGTGAAAGTTAATTACATATTATTAATAATACTAGTAATATAATAAATTTATTTGATTTATCGAAGAATAGAAAAAATATGCTGTAATAAAATGAGAATTTAATGAACCATAAACTTAAGGTTATAGAATTGAAGTGTTACTTATGTTAAAACAATTTTGTACGATTAAATTTAATAGGGTACACATAAAAATACTTAAATCCAGAAAATAAATGAGGGAAGGGGGGAGGGGGGGGAAGAAAAGTGATATCCTTTTCAATTATAAAATCGATCAAATTCAATTGAAAATTCCATAAGAGAAAAAAAAACAAAATGATGAATTTAATTTACAATTAATCGAAGAATATTTAATAGAAAGTTTGTAAAGAGTTGATTGAAAAGATGATTCTTGATCGTTCCTTCCTTTTTTTTTTTTACCAAACAAAAATAGAAGTAGAAGTAAAAGTAGTAGTAGAAGAAGAAGAAGAAGAAGAAGATGAAGATGATGATGATTCTATCCAAGCCATAGTAGTACTGTGTACGTATACGTGTATGTATATATATATATATATATGTTGTGTTGTTGTGTTAATAACGAAGCTGAACGTTTAGTTCTTATCCACACGTTGCTTTTTATCCGAGGTTTATTGATCGACGTTAAACGACGACTACGACGACGACGACGGAAGGAAATAGAGGATTAAATTGCTTTGCTTGTCGTTAAGAGTAACTGTAATGGTAGTAGTAGTAGCAATAGTAATAGTAGTAGTAGTAGTAGTAGTAGTAATAGTAGTAGCCAGTTATTCCATAATGGCTTGTGGACGTTTTCTTTGGGATAATGTTTGATAGGTCGATATGGGAAATCACAGATTGAGAAGAGAACATAAAAAATATCAGTTGAAATTATAGGTTCAGAAATATTCGTAGAAATGTTTGAAACGTGTTTCTTTTTTTTGTTTTTTTTGTTTCATCTCTCCCTTTCTCTATATTTATCTATTTCCTCCTACACACCCTTTTTTTTTTTTCAATATTTTATTTGATTTTTTTCTCTACTTTTCTTCTATCCAATCTCAAACCCTCCCAATCTCATCCATTCTATCCCATTTTTATTTTCTTCTTTCCTTCTTACGTTGAAACTTCTTTGAACGACATACTGGCGCCAGTCTACCAGGCGCCCTTCTTCTTCTTCTTCTTCTTCGCAATACCCATTGTCATTTATTTTCCCTTACATGGTTTGCCGAGGCTACCATCCACCCCACCCCACCCCCTCCCATCTTCAAAATCCTATCAAAGATTCTTCACAATTTTTACTTTCTCTCTCTCTCTCTCTCTCTCTCTTCTTTTCTCTCTTCTTAGTTTTTTACTTAATTCATAGATGGATGTTATATTTGTTTTTTGTTTTTATTAGAATTATTTCATTTTTTATTTATACTTGTTTTATTATTATTCGTCGAATATATTATTAAACAAATGTATATACATATATATATATTCAATAATTATGAAAGTGGTCTAAGTCATGTATCTCGTGTTTCGAGATATTTAACCAGTTGACTGTGGAATTTAGTTTTAAAAGATCACCACAGGTTGGGTGCGGAATTAAAAACAAGCAATGACGTGTATACACGTCGAACGCAAGGCAAATGGTATTATTATACATTTTATGAAAAATAAAGAAGGATTACATTTTTATTCAAAGTCAAAAAAAAAAAAACTAACAATTCGTTTCTGAATACGTTATTCTTACTAAAAAAGCTTGAAAATTGTCAAAAAAAATAATAAAATACATAAACAAGAAAAATCGAAGATAGGAAGAATAAAGAAGAAAACTAAGAAAATAGTTTAGAAAATTTCAAGCTATGTATGTGTGATATGTTTCAAAGTGTGCATGGTACTACGCAAAGTGCAACTTCACAGGTCGTACACCAAAACTTTGTTTCCTTGCGTTTTCCATTTTTTGAACAAACGATACATCTTATAAATAAAAATAAATAAAATAAATATAAATAAAATACATAGAGGTCGTATTGGTAATATAAAGGGAACATACCACCAAATAATATTCTTATTACATTTTATTGAGATTACGAGTTTTTATAGTGAATGGTAATTTTTTATTTTACACGACGAGTATGCACGTCAAATGCACCGCAGTAGAGATTTGGTCCGACATGTATACACGTCGAACGCACTTAACTGGTTAAAGATTACTATTTGAACATCGTATGAATTCTATTTAATATTGAAATAACAAACATTATCTGACGATTCATTTTTCACAATATCATGAAAATTATATTGAATTTATTTAGTTTAAAATAATGTGGTGCTTAATAACTAGTAAACTCATTTTTTTTTTTTAATTTTGACTTAGACCACTTTCATAATTATGGGCACATATATATATGTGATTACATATCTTAATATATACAAATGATGTGTCACGTTGTTTGTTCGCAATGGACTCCTAAACTACTGAACCGATTTTAATAAAAATTTTACACACTGTGTGCAGTTTCATTCAACTTGAAAGATAGGATAGTTAATATATCAATTTATAATCGCAATATTATTTTATTAATCGCGAATTATTTGTTTATTAACAAAGAGTCATGATTATCTCTGTTAATTCGATAAAATTCTAACAGATAGCGGTATAAGATAATTCGTTAACTTAAAGACGTGTGTATCGGACTGATTGTAAGCCACAGCAACGCGTGGCAGGGCACCCCTAGTTTTAATATATATTTTTTATAATTATTTATATTTAATTTACGTATATATTATTTATATATATATGATAGATGGAATGTTATTCTAAAACTTTTAGATTTGATAAAATAATTATTAATTTCGATAAAATCGAAAAAGATTGACGTATGGAAGCTGACGAAGTGGAACAAGAAAATAATTGCTCGAAGGTATAGAAACACACATGCATACTCACACACATACACGATGTCAATAATCTTGACTATGACTACTGTGAAAAAAAAAAGAAGAAAAAAAAACGTAAACGTGAACGTGATGATCTGTTCTTGCTATCTTTGAATCCACAGTAGTAGATAGCTTAGTCATACTTTTCATATATACTGTACTAGTTCACTCTAGGAGTACCCTTAGACAAAAGATTTCGTTCACGACAATGGCGCCCATCAGGATATCAAACCTGGCTTGGTGTTGTTTGGTTAAAAAAAAAAAAAGTCTACAAGGGAGGTGTGTAGGAGCCTCTGGGTGTTTCGAAAAGAGCTAACGGTGGTGGTACTACTTCTTCGAGTTTAGTGGGAAAAAAGGGGATGAGGGTAAAGGGGTGTATGAGCTAAATCCTCCTAATGCTAGTTCTAATCCTAGGTAGTAGTAGTTAGCTGTATTTCAAGCTTTACGTCAATCTCAATCTTTCTCTCATTGCTTGACGACTTCCTTTTGTCTGACAAACCATTTTTTTTTCTTTTTCTCCTTTTTTTACTCCACCCCCCTTTTCACCTCCTCTCAATCCAAAAAAATCCTTCGAAACTTACTGCCAATGGTAATTCTGCTATTTTTTCTTTTTTATTTTTCATTATTTTACATCGTTGCTTTTATATTCTACAAATATCTAAATTGTTATTATAATTATTATTATTGTTGTTGTTGTTGTTGCTTTTATTACTTTTGTTTTTGGATTGTTTTATTTTCGAAGTTCTTATCGAACATGTTTGTAGAGAAATAAAAGAAAGGGAGTGTGTGTACTACTTTTAATCTACTGCGAATGGTAATCGATAAACCCATGTGTTTTTTTTCTCTTTTTTTTCAATATTCTGCGCTTATCCATCCCCCCTCCAACCCCTTAGTTGAAAATTTTTGTTGATTTGTGTTTTTCAATGCTTACTCTTTTCACAAGGGGGTTATATTATAATAATTATGGTACTTACGTATTAACGCCACCGCAGCAAAAATTCCGCTAATGCGACAATAAAGAGTAATCTTGTTGTTCATGCACAACAACCTTGTTGTTTGCACACAGTAACCGTCAGGGTTGCGTCAAGGTTTCGCCAGGGTTTCGTCAGGGTTATGGCGACAGCATCAGGTGAAAGAAAATAGAGACTGTTTTGAAACTATGTTAAATTCTATATCGGCCCATTTTCCACCGAAATCCAATTGACTATTTTTTGTAAATAAAATGTTTTGAATTTTGAAAGTGTTTAGATTTTAAATAAAGTTTTTTATTCTATGGTTTGTCGCAACAATTTAAGGTGTAGATTGGCGCATTAGCGGAATTTTGCTGCGGTGGCATTAATACGTATAAGTACCATAATTATTATAATATAAATAATATAATAATATAATTATATATTTATATATATATATATAAATTTTTAATCTTGTAATAAATTTAAAAATTCACAAACTTTTGAGATTTCAACCCTAATAGATAAATAATTTGAGAAAATAAATAATATAATAATAAAGTTAAAGTAAATAAAGAAAGTGAACTCACTTTGAGAGCCTCCTCGTGGGTCACCGCATGAAAGGGTGTGCCATTCACCTCTAAAATGGTGTCCCCTGGCCTGAGTCCAGCTCTTTCGGCCACTGAACCTTCTTCCACCCTCGAAATGTAGACACCCACCCCTGAGAACAATTCACAGACTTTCCATCAGGCCAAAAAGTTGCTGAACAACTGTTCCATTATTGGTGCGTGCTCAAATTTTCTACTCATGTTTATTAACACTTATTTTTATCTTTATTTTTATTTTTTTTTTATAAATTCAATCAATCAAATAAATTCAATTTTTTATTTATTTATTTATTTATTTATTTATTTAATGTTATTTTTTCATGATTTGCATTTGACATGAGTAGAAAGGGTTTAGTGTTAATAGAATGTGAAAAATAACAAAATAAAAGAAATTTGAAGAAAAATTGAATATGCAAATGCATAAAAGAGTATTGTGTTGTTGTCTGTGATTTTTTTTTTTTTTTTTACAATATAAAAATAATAATATATGAATATGTCTGTGTGTACACGTATAAGTGTAAATTATTGAATATATTTAAATACATCTAAAAATACAAATACATGCAGAAAGATCATATTAATTTGTGTTAAAAATAAAACAAATATAACAATTTTTCATTCTATTGATTTATTATTTAGAATAATTCAATAAATTTGTGTATATTTAAACTAATATTTTCATAGTTTAATCATTACAATAAATATTTACGAAGAATAATATTTCATTGATGTAATAATACAAGAAAAAAAAGAATTTATCATTGTCTCGTAATGAACCCACTCGAAATAAAATGCACGTTACTCTAATCAGGAGTAGAACAAACAAACAAATATTAAAGAAAGAAAGACAGAAAGAAAGAAATCTTCGTTAAGAACACAATCCAAAGACTTTGGAGTTTGAAAGTTCGAAAGAAAAATCAAGTCAATGGCAAAGAACTCGAGTGTCGTTAATTTTACTTGTTTCAAGAAAAAAAAAAAACTTTGTTTGAAATTAAAAAAGACAAATAAAATCGTATAAATAAACTCGACTAAATTGATGATGAAAAATAAACCTTTTTTGATAGTCTATTAAAATAACAAAACAAAACAAAAAACAAAAAAATAAAATCTATAAAAATATATAAAATTTATATATGTTAAATAATTCAACAAATTATTAAAATTTATTTTTATTAATTTAATAATTTAAATATGTATATATTATAAATATATATTTTTAATGTGTGTGTTTATAATATATATTATAATATTTTATTATTTATATTATAATATTTTATAATTATATAATTACTTAATCAAATTATAAAATATTTAAGTATTTCAATTATTAAATTAATATTTTTTTAAATAATATTTTTAAATAATTATTTTTTTTTTTTTTTTTATGTAATCTCACTGAAAACTAAAACCGAAAATTTTGTTATACAAATTTTCAAATACACCAATTTTTCTATAACAAAATATTACACATCCATCTATAAAGAATTACATTTTATTTGCATTTTGTGATATTGTACGATATGAAAAATAAAATGAAAATAAATTCTGACGTATCACTCGTTTGGTAGATAATTTTGTGAAATATTTTGTCTTTTTTCTTTTTTCTTTTTTCCTGTTTATGGTTTGACAAATTAATAAAAATGTTCAACAATTTTATATATCACGCAAGTTTATATTTTTTTTTTTTTTTTTTAAGCAATTCATAAAAACTTTAGTTGAACTTTTAGAAAATTCACGGATCATTAAAAACTTTTCTCGCGTGGGTCATAAAGTGAATAGCTAAAGTCATGGATTGTTCGTCATTGGGTTTTTTCTTCTATTCATTTTTTCTACTCATCGGAGGGTGACTAAAGCCATGATAATTAATCTTTCTTTTACGAATAAACGAGCAAAAAAAAAAATCAATGTGAAGTGGGTACTTCATGAGTAAATTAATTCATTGTAAATTAATCTAAATCGATAAATAACAAGAACCATCCATAGTCGGCTCATTAAGAACCTTTGGATTAAAACATTTATGTTAATTCTCTTTTTTTTTTTGTACCATAAGTAGTCCTTGGATAATATTTATTTTAATTAATGATAAATAATCACGATCAATTTCTAATTAACACAATGTAAAATGTTACACACTATAGTCTGTATAAATTAATATAATAATTAATATAAACAAATATGTATGATAATATATTTCTCACGTAATTATTTTGTATAAACAATTGAAACGAGAAAATGTATTATGTATTATGTAATATAGTATGTATGTGTTATAATAATATTATTATATATATATATATATTATTAATAATATTAAATATATTTATATATATTTATAATAATATATATTTTTGTAAATATATATTTAATATATTATATATACTTAATATATATTTTTTATAAATAATATTTATTATAA